CACACACACCCAGCGTGAGTTTAAGCCACCAGGTCTGCGACTTTAACCGTGGTCGACTACATGGGAGTCCAGCGACGTAGCCATTACGCCAACCACTGGTCCTAGATATGCACTTTCTTAAAAACCTGATTTGCAGCAGAATTCCTTGGAGAAATGTTGTAACAATGCTGATTCCAACGTCCTGGCAAAACTTTTAAAATCAGATTCTGTGGTAGGAGGTTTAAGGAAGCTGCATTTTCTTTCTTTCTTTCTTTCTTTCTTTTTAATTTTTTTGTCTATAGGGTGTGTGTGTGCACACCAGAGAGAGAAAGTGATTAATCACCCTCCCCCCCCAAGGAGGGTGGCTATGCCACAATCCCTTCTCCTCCAGTCTCCCCTTGGGATTTTGAGCATGCATACAGGCATGCCTAGTGAGATTTTCAAGCCACTAGGTCTGGGACTCGAACCACATAGCTGGCTTTAACCTCCACACTACCTGCTGGCCCCAAGGAATCTGCATTTTAAAATTCTTTTTTTTATATTAAAGAATTATTTTATTTAACTTTATTTATTTATTTTGATTTGACCAGAGAGGGACAGAGTGAGAGCAAGAGAGAGAGAAAGAAAGAGAGAGAAAGCGAGCCACCAGGTCTGGGACTCGAACCACTGTCAGCCATGTGGGAGTCCAGTATCCTTAACTATCATGCCACCTGCTGGTCCCTGCATTTTAAAATTCTACAGATGATTCTGAGTTAATAGGTCAAGTGTTTGGCACTCTTTATTCTCTGTTCATTTTTTAAAAGTGGTCTATCTTTTCTGCAGAATCTTTGTACAATTTGCAATGTACAATTCCCAGAACCTTTGTGGCTAATGATGTAAAACTTGACTCTGTCCTCTGCTAGTTACTAAGAAACAGAGCTCTTTGATAGCCCAGACAAAAACGTGTAATGAGCGCATTTTGTCTGTCTGCTCTATGCTAGGTGCTGGTGATCATTGGAAAGGGGCGTTTCTAGAGGTGAAATGGGAAATAAGGTACCAGCAATATTACTTATGTAAGGCATGTAAAGCCACATGGTAGAGTAAGAAACTTAGAAAGCCATTGTATTCTGGAACATTGATTTGGCAGTGAAAGGAAGGCACTAGTAATGAAGGTCAGAGAGGTCAACCCGGAGAAGATATGAATCCTGAATTTTTTAGAGCATGAACTAGGGTGTGAGCAATGAGAATATTGTAGTGGATGAGAACCCATGAAGCTTTACAAAGGAAGAAAGAACAAAATTTGGTAATAGAATATGGGGGAGGGGTATACTTTCCAAGTGCCTAATCCAGAAGCCCAGACAGAATGAGGTTTGACTGTTGGTATATTACAACAAATAAACCATTAAGCTTATGGTATTCTTCCCCATGAAGAAAAGTTGGAAGAAAAGTTAATTTGACAGGAAGGAGGGTGTATGACGTGTTTTGAACAATGAATTTGAGGCAGGAGGAGTTGGACACTCAAATGGAGCAGTTCTAGCTCTTATGTGAAAGGTAAGGAATGGAACCCCCAGCATAGAAATTATCATGGAGCGATGGGTGTGACAAACTGGGGATGAGTAAGTGAAGGAATCAGAAAAGAATGTGCAGTGTGACCCCCCCCCCCAGAAAAAGAGAAAGAACAAGCTAAGAAAACAAGCAAAGAGCAGATAAGGGATCAAAGGGGAATCATGGAATTCAACACATCGGCATTTTCAAGAAGCATAAAACTTTTGGGACCAGCAGTTAGCGTAATGGCTATGTTGTTAGACTCCCATGTAGTCGACCACGGTTCGAGTCTTGGACCCAGTGACTTAAACTCATCCCAGGTGCGTGTGTGTGTGTGCCCAAGATCCCGAGAGGAGAATGGAGGAGAAGGGATTGCAGTGTGGCCATCTACCCGCAGGGTGATTTCTCTCTTTCTGTCTCTGTCTCTCTCTGTCTTTCTGGTGAGCGCACGCGCCCTATAGCAAAAACCTCTCCAAAAAAAAAGAAAAGAAAAAGGAGTGTAAAACTCTTTTCCTGTTTATTTATTTATTTATTATTTTAAGTTTGTTATAGTGCATGTGTGCCACCAGAGAAAGAGAGAAAAAGAAAGAGAGAGAGAGAGGAAAGAGAGAAAGAGAACGTGAGAAAGCAAGCCATTAGGTCTGGGACTCAAACCATGGTCGGCCACATGGGAGTCTGGTGCCTTAACCACCATGTCACCTGCTGACCCCAAAACTTCTAATCCTGACCTCAGAATATCTTCTCTTACACAGGAGAGGAAATAGGACTTTAACTATGGATAATACCAGTATTCACCAAGAAGGACCAGTCTTTTCTTCCTAGAAGTATGACATGAGCCACATTGTTAAATTAGGTTTTTTTAAAAAGCTACCTTGCATGTTATTGCTTTTCATGGTCATTTCCGTCAGTCATTAAAAAAATTCTGCCCTTGTTTCATGAATACATAATGTAAAAGTAATGCAGGAGGTTGTCTCATTTTATTTTATAGGCACAGCAGCCTGGGAAAAATTCTTCAGTGTGAAAAAATCTACAGAGAAGGTCAACATATTGCTTGTTCTTTTGATCTGACTAAAGTGAAGGATTCTGGTTCTGAGCAACACAGTATCCAAATAATGGTCAAGGATAATGCAGGAAAAATTAGACCATCCTTCAACTTAGTGCCTTTAACTTCCCGTGGTAAGTTTCAGAAGTCCTTTATGACTGTGAATAAGAGTATGTTACATCTTTTGAACAATATAAATAATAAAAAAAATATGATTTAGGTTTTAAGATGGTTCCAAAACAACAGGCTGTGTGCGTGTGCGTGTGTGTGTATAAGTGTGTATATAGATCTTTTTTAAAAGAAGCAAGCTTAGCACTTCTAATATTTATTAAACACATGTAATTAGAAGTACACTGAGACTTAGAGCAGTTAGTTGTAGAATCAAGACTGGAACTCAGTGGGACAAGCAGTTAGCTAATGGTATGTTGCTGAACTCCCATGTAGTTGACCGTGGTTCGAGTCCCAGACCCTGTGGCTTAAACTCATGCCAAGTGCGTGTGTGTGCGTGCCCAAGATCCCGAGAGGAGAATGGAAGAGAAGGGATTGCGGCGTGGCCATCCCCCCTGGGGGTGATTTCTTAAAAAAAAAAAAAAAAGATTGAAACTCAGGCTATCTGACTCTAAGATCTGTTCTCTTTTCATTTAATGATGATTGTGAGGATGAGATTCAGTTGATCAAATATAGTTCCAGAATAATGTGTCTCTTAGTTAGGAAAAACTTACACTGAAGGTGGTGTAGTAGAGGCGATACTCAAAATGGTTAACATTACGTAGCACAGACACTGACTGATCAGAAAAAGCACTGCAGCCACATGTGGGCATACCAGCTAGGTGTCAGTGTATTAGGGCCCTCAACTTGAACACAGAATAATCTGGTTGAGGCCCTAGCTCTACTCTATGTAAAAGATATAGACCTTCTTCAAGCATTTTCCTAACTGTAGAGCAGAGTACATCGTCCCTCTTGACCTCAAAGAATTATTGTAAGGACCAAAGTATATAAGGTGTATAAAAGCATTTTGTAAATCTCTAAAGCAGAATACCATAAGCTTAATGGTTTATTTGTTGTATTATACCAACAGAGGGCTCTGTTTCTAGCTAGCTAGTGTCTAGAGTATATATAGGTAAATAGCCATCAATTGACCAAGGCCCCCAAGTCTGTGAGTAGAATACCATTTACCACCCTTTCGGGTAGTCATGGAAATGAATCAAATAGGGGACCAAAGGCAGCTTAGTTTGTAGACTAAGGAAGTGAGGTCAGGGACATGGGCTACGTGGGATAAGCTGGAAAAAAGCCCTTTTCTTTCCTCCCCCTGGTTAGGCAGATTATTGTAGATGGATGTTTTAAGGCTCATTTTGCTGCTCTCCTTCCTGAATATTAACAATGACAGAAAAGAAGATCCTTCTCAGCTAGAAGATAACATCTTCAAGTTGTTTTCTATTAATTGTCCTTTATCTTCTGTTGCTCAGACTTAAGTATAGCTGACCCCTGTAAAACTGACTAGGCTAAGGCTTTATTTTTTTTGTTTATTTTATTTTTAATTATGGCTACAAATATCTTACATTAAATTCACCACCACAAACATTGTTTAAGTGTACTTTTTAGCAATTTTAAGTGTGTTCGCATTGTTGTGCAACAGGTTTCTAGAATAGATCCCACAAAACTCAAACTCTCTACTCATTAAGTATCAATCCCCCTCCTCCCAGCCCTTGGGAACACCTTTCTACTTTCTATTTGTATGAATTAGAGTACTTTAGATCCATAGATGAGTGGAATCATTCAGTATTTGTCCTCTTGTGATTAGCTTATTTCACTTAACAAAATGTCCTCCAGATGCATCCATGATGTAGCATATGATCTAAACTAGGCTAATGTTTTAACTGTGATCTTAGATTGCCAAGAGTGAGTGACAGTCCTTGTTCCTGGTTCTTTGTTACCAATCAGGTGGAAGCACATAGCACACAAGCACTGCATTTCTTTAATCTCTGTGTTGCAGCTAGATGTCCTAATTATACCTTGGCCATTTCTAACCAGGTGCAGGTCAAAGTTCATGACATCTGTCAGATACCCCAAAGAACTTCCTTAATCCGCTTTTTAAAATAATTATTATATTTAACTTTATTTTTTCTTAATTTTGACCAGAGAGGGACAGAGTGAGAGAGAGAGAAACAGAGAGAGAGAAAGCGAGAAAGCAAGCCACCAGGTCTGGGACTCCAACTGCAGTCAGCCATGTGGGAGTCCACCATGCCACCTGCTAGCCCTTTCCTTAATCTACTTTACTAGGTAGTTTTAAGTAAACTTCTTCCTCTAATTGTGACTAATCAGAAATTCTAAAACTATAAATCTGATTAAGACCACTAAAAGCATCAGCTCTATTTTGATTTAACTTTGTGAACCTTCATTATCCCTACACACACACACAAACACACACACACACACACTTAAATAAACTTTGGAAGCTAATTTGTTTTTTTCTGTTACTCTTTCAGTGAAACCTGATCCTCCACATATTAAAAATCTCTCCTTCCAAAATGGTGATTTGTACGTGCAATGGGAGAATCCACAGAATTTTAAGAGCAAATGCTTAGCATATGAAGTAGAAGTCAATAACAGCCAAACTGAGACAAGTGATACTTACCACGTAAGTTTTTTAGATTGTTTTAACTTGGGCATTTTTCCTTCACTTGAATTTCTTCCATTTGAAATATCATTGAAATGTGGTTCTTACATTGGCCACCTTCCGGTGATGATGATAATGAAACTTCTTGTCTGAAATAAAACATGTCGAAGGTTTGAGGATTTATGGCAATATTGACTGCAGTGTTCAAGTCATTCTATTCATTCATTTGCTCAACAGAGTTTTATTGTGTCTGCCATGTGCCAGCACTGTTTCATGTGCTTGGAAAAAGGCAGTGAACGTGAAGCCTTATGAGCAGGTATTGGGTTGTTGGAAGAGACATGACGTATTTTTTCTATATTTTTCCATGCAAAAATACATCATGACTTTTCCAATGAACCCAATATTCTTTTCTAGTATAAAACTTCTTGGAAGGGGAAATAAGGATGTAAATGAGCATGCTAATTTCAGAGCATGAGTACTAGGAAGAGAATGAAATGGATTATGTAGTAGAATGACTAAGAAAGCCTAAGGGGAATATGAGGGGTCTTCAAGAAAGTTCATGGATAATGCATATTAGGAAAAAACTATGCTATGCATGGATTTCAAAAGTTTTGCGTCTAAATAAACTCACCTTTTAATTCCATTTTTCCAAAGCCTTTCTGAAGTCCCCTCATATTAGGTAGGTAAGTAAACTGATGTAATGACATTTGAGATGAGACCAGAGTGATGAACAGGAGTCGGTCACCATGTGGATATCTGGGGGTAGAGGGGACATCAAATACAAAGACTATGAGGCAAGCATTAGCTTGGCAGGTGTGAGAAAACAGAAAGGAGGTTGTTGCTGCCAAGGTATAGTATGAAAAGATGTCCAATCAGTAAACAGAGATGAGATCTTACAGGCACTCGGAGGCTCTTTTAAAGCCATTTAGTTTTCTTAGAGTTTGTGTTAACTAAAGTAATAAATTTTTTTTGAGAGGTTTTTGCTATAGGGCGCATGTGTTTGCCAGAAAGTCAGAGAGACATAGAGACAGGAAGTGAGAAATCACCCCCCAGGGGGATGGCCACGCCGCAATCCCTTCTCCTACTTTCTCCTCTTGGGATCTTGGGCACGCACGCACACGTGCCCGGCATGAGTTTTAAGCCACCGGGTCCAGGACTTGACCCGCGGTCGACTACGTGGGAGTCCAGCGACATAGCCATTACGCTAACTGCTGGTCCCTAAAGTAATAAAATTTGAATGGTCATTATTTGTTGTATTATGTATGCTTACACTATACAAAATTTGATGCAAGACATGCTGAGTTTAGGTAGATCCCTGTCGAGTGCTGACCAAAATGTGGTGTAGCCTTTAGGTGTCAGTCTCATTGTTATCATTTCGAGTAGAGTTCACAAGAGAAGCCCTCATAATTTTTTTTATAGTTTTTTTCCCATAAAGTGCCAGAGAGAGACACAGAGAGGGAAAGTGAGAAATCACTCCTGGGGGAGATGGTCACGAGGCAATCCTATCCCCTCCATTCTCTCCTCAAGATTTTGGGCATTTACGCACATGTGCCTGGTGTGATTTTCAAGCAGCCAGGTCTGGAACTCAAACTGTGGCCAGCCATGTGGGAATCCGGCTCCTTTACCACCATGACACCTGCTGGCCCCAAGCCTCACACATTTTTTAAAGTTTGTTTGTTTCATGAAAGAGATGGGTGCAGAGAGAGAGAGAGAGACACCTCCAACAGGGTCCTCACACTGTGATCCTCCTCCAATCTCAGCCAACCAAGATCATGGATATACACTTGTGCATCCAGGATGCTCAATGAGGGAGGTCCATGGGAGTACACCCAGGGCCTTTCCCATGTGGAGGTAGTTGCATCACCACTATACCATCACCTGACCTCATCTCATACATTTTTGTTTGGAAGTCTCGTTTATTTCTTTATTAAATTTGAACTTTTTTTTTATTGCCAGAGTGTGGATTCCCTTGCCAGAGTTAGAGAGGGACAAAACACCCTCAATGGGGTGTGACCATTCCACAATTCCTTCTCCTCCATTTTTCCATCCTGTTGAAATTTGGAGCGTGCATTCACACACATGTGCCTGGCATGTTCATTCCACTAGGACTGAGATTGAACTGCAGTCGGCCATATGGGGTCTGGCTCCCTTAACCATTGTGCTATGGGTCAGCCCTTAAATCTGGATTTTTTGCTTAGATTTAATATCATTGGACCCTAGGAGGATATTTCCAGAAAGTGGCATCTCAAAGCCATGGGGATTGCACCACTCACGTGTTTGCTGCCTGCCTGGACCCTTTGTGCATTTGCATTTTAGAAATTAGAAGCCAGTGTATTATATTGACTTTTAAAGGAACCCAGCATCATGCAAGTGGGCACATTCCTCGGTCCACTTGCTGTAGCACATCATGGGACTTTCCAAGTGCTTACTAAAATAAGCCAGTGTTGACAGGCTGTAACTCCAGAGGGAGTGACCAGGGCCACAGCACAACAGAGCTCTTCTGGGCCTTTGCAGATAAGTCTGCCTGCTGAAATATGACAATCATTGTTGGTACCAGAAATCATACTGTCCCCACGAAATATCCCAAAAGGAAAAAGCAAAGAGCCTCCATGTGGGGAGAGGACTGTTCATTGGATTTGCAACAAAGTGAGTTTTTAGAAAGCTGAAGTACACTCATGACTTTCAGCCTTTGTGTTCACTTTTACCTGAAATCCTGGCTTACATGCTACTTGTATTGCTCATTTTGCTACTCCGTTATGTCCTGCTATTTAACCTCATCAAGTCTATATTCCTTGTCTCTGCACTGAAAACATAAACTACTGTAGGGAGGAGTCAGGTGGGGTCTACTTTGTGCCGTTCCTGCTACCAATAGCAACTAACATGTATTGAGTGATTACTGTGTACTAGGTGTTCTAATAAGCACTGGATCTGAATCGTCTCATTCAGTCCTCACAATAACCCTAAGGATCTAAGTCCTGTTCCTTTGTTCCCATCTTAAAAATGAAAAAAACTGTTACTTCTACAGTCACATTTCTACTAAGTGGTAGAGTCAAGATTTAGGTAAAATTCTAACTCCCAAGCTTGTCTTCTTAAACATTGGAGACCTCTTCAGTATTTCCTCCTTAATATTGGGTTGTTGGAAAAGCGATGACACATTTTTGCATAGAAAAACATTAAAAAAAATCATGAGTTTTCTGATGATCCAATAGTAATTAGCATAATCTGTTTAGCATGTCTTGTGCTACAGAAATACTCTTCTGTGTTTTTCATTAAGTAATTTGTAACAACCCATGAAGCAGGTCCCCAGTTTATGATGGTTCGACTTAAGATTTTTCAACTTTGTAGTGATATAAAAATGATATGTATTTAGTCAAAATATACTTCAGATTTTGAATTTTTATCTTTTCCTGGGGTAGTGAATGTGATACAATACTCTGTCATGATCCTGGGCAATGGCAGAGGGCAGCAGCCTCCTGTCAACAACCTACATGGTCGTGAGAGTAAACAGCCTATATTCCACAGTATTCTGTGGTGCCAGCAGTTTTTAGATTCTGTGTTTTGTGTTTTCCCATTCTGTCATTCTACAAAATGCCCACTTTCTGTTGGTGATATTTTCAACTTACAATGGATTTAGGAGCAGTTTTTTTAGGTTTTTGCCATAGGGCGCATACACTCTCTGGAGAGAAACAGAGAGAGGGAAAGTGAGAAATCAACCCTCAAGGGGAATGACCACGCCACAATCTGTTCTCCATTCTCCTCCTGGGATTTTGGGCATGCACGCACACATGCCTGGCATGATTTTCAAACTACCAGGTCTGGGACTTGAACCATTGTCTGCCATGTGAGAATCCAGCACCTTAACCACCATGCCACTTGGAATTAATTCTATTTGTACATGTGACCTTAATGTTCTGTCTCCTAGCAGATGTTCACTAGTTGTCTCCTCCCCTAAAATGTCGTCAGCTTTTTGTGTTCTCACTGATTTTGAGCTCTGCTGGTTAGACCTTTTATTTTATTTTATTATTTTTTTCTTTCTCTGTAAGTATTTGAATAATTGTTTTGCCTGTTGTTAAAACTAAGAAGGGGAAGCAAGCTGGAACATGAACTAGTGCAACCACACGGGGGCTGTGGTCAGAGTTAGCTCATGACAGTCATGAAGTAAGGAATGACTCTTTGACCACGTACCTACCATCCTTGCAAATGATCTATACTTCAACAAAATTCATAGAAAATGAAGTCAAAGTACAAGTTTATTTTGGTGTAAAAACTTTGGAAATTCTTGTGTAGTTTTTGTCACAATATGTATTTTTCCATGGACCTTTGAAGATACCCCTTCTGGCCCCTGTACTTGGTGCTCTGTGTCCTTGTGTTCCTTCTCCCAGAGGTATCTGAGTAACTAGTGAACTATGCACAAGAGCCTAGAAACTTAAATCTACACAATGATTCGCTGACTTTGGAATTTGTGTATTTGGGAGATGACCCAGGGGGAGTAGGGACATCAGTCTGCAACTTGATCTCTCAAGTAGCAGTTGACACTTACTGATTTCCCCAGCAGCCCCGCGATTTCAGATGGCCAGCAATGGTACACAGTACCCACTCCATCAAGTGGATTTTCCTCTGGCCCTGTATGAAATATAGAAAAGATGACCCTTTATCATTTACTTGGCCTGTCAGCTCTTCACAAATGCTAGTAGGAACCATTTGGTGAATGCAGGCAAATACCAAAAATAATGTTTATGTTTTGGTCTTTATTCAGTGTTTAACTATCTCTTTTTATTTTTTTTAAATTTTTTGAGAGGTTTTTGCTATAGGGCGCATGCGCTCACCAGACAGACAGAGACAGAAAGATAGAAAGCAAGAAATCATACCCCCAGGGGGGATGGCCACACCGCTATCCCTTCTCCTCTATTCTCCTCTCAGGATCTTGGGCATACATGCACATGTGCCCGATGAGATTTTAAGTGACTGGGTCTGGGACTTGAACCGTAGTTGACTACATGTGAGTCCAGCGATATAGCCATTATACCAACTGCTGGTCCCAGTGTTTATCTCTTTGATAGAAGTTGACTAAGCTAAGCAACAGATTTTTCATGTGTTGATTTAAAAAAATTGCTAGAGGGCATGTGTGCTCTCCAGAGAGAGAGAGAAAGAGACAAAGAGAGAGAAATAATCCCCTGGGGGGGTTGGTCATGCCACAATCCCTTTATCTCCATTTTCTCAGGATTTGAGGCACACACACACGTGCCTGGCATGTTTATCAAGCCGCCAAGTCTAGGACTTGAACCATACTGTCAGCTATGTGGGATCCAGCACTTTAACTACCATGCCACCTGGCTGGCCCCATGTGTTGATTTTTTATTCTATTTTTGAAATGTTTACATTTAAGGAACTGTTTATTCTGTTTACATCAGATAGCGAGTGACTTGCATTGTGTGAAGGAGAATTTTTTAGCAGTTTACTTTTAAATAATTATTTAATTTAATTAATTATTATTATTCAATTTGATGAGACAGACAGAGAGAAAGAGAAGGATAATGAGAAAGCAAGCTGCCAGGTCCAGGACTCAAACCATGGTCGGCCGTGGGAGTCCAGCACCCTAACCACCATACCACCTGCCATCCCCATGAAAGAGAATTTTGCACTGTACTTTTTTTTCTCTTCAACCCAGGCATTTTATATATATATATATATATATATATCTTACATGCTCAACATGGGAATCTGGTCTCTCCCTCTCTCTCTTTTAATTTTTCCTGAGGGCATGCATGCTCAGTGGAGAGAGACAGAGAAGGAAAGTAAGAGATCATTCCTCAGGGTGGTTGACCATGCTGCAATCCCTTCATTCTTATTTTGTGATGTTGGGCATGTACACACATGTGCCTGGCATGTTTTTCAAGCACCCAGGCCCAAGACTCGAAATGCCCAGTAAGCTGTGTGGGATCCAGACACCTCCACCACCATACCACCAACTGGTCCCCTTCTGATTTTTAAAATCATCTCTAGTGGGGCCAGTAGGTGGCTTGGTGGATAAGGCACTGGACTCTCACATGGTTGAGTGTGGACCAAGCCTGGGACCCAGTAGCTTGAAAATTATACCAGGCACGTGTGCATGCATGCCAAAAATCCCAGGAGGAGAATGGAGGAGAAGGGATTGCAGTGTGGTCATTCTCCCTGGGGGTGATTTCTACTTCCCCTCTCACTGTCCCTTTCTGTCTGTCCCTGTCTAGCACATGTTCCTTATGACAAAAACCTAAAAAAAATTCTAGTTTACTTGCAAGTAAGCCTAGCATCAGATGTAAGTGGAAAGGAAAATATTGGGTTATTGGAAAAGTCATGACATATTTTTGCATCACCTGTCTTTTAGGGAGTCACCTCTACTTCTTCCATATCATGACAATTAGCATGGCCTGGCTGTATCCACAATTGGTTGAATCAATCTGCAATTGCAGAACCAACTGTACATGCAAGTCCTTTGTCAGAATTTCAGAGATGTTCTCCTACTCTATACATTGCCTATTTATTTCACTCATAAAGTTTCATTTGATGAACAGAAGTTTAAAATGTTTAATATAGGCAACTTCATAAACATTTTCCTGTTATGGCTAAAGTTTTTTTTTTTTTCTTGTCCTGTTTAAACATTTTTTCCTTCTTCAAGATCGTGAAGATGTTCTGTGTTTTCATCTAGAAGCTTGCTGCATTTATGTATTTATTTGTTTATTTTGCATTTCATATTGAGATGGGCAGAATTTTTGCAGTTGCTTTTGTGAATAGTGTGAGGTAGGGCTCAAGATTCTTTTCTCTCAATATGGATATGTAATTGACCCCAGTGCCACTTACTAAAAATGCTAAACTTTATTAGCCATACTTGGTCTTCTTTTAATGGGATAAAAGGAAAGACTTTTAGAAATAGCTAAACGAGGGCCAGTAGGTAATGTGGCGGTTAAAGTGCTAGAACCCACTTGGCTGACACCACATTTCCAGTCCTGGATCCAGCGGCTTGAAAAACATGCTGGGCACATGTGCATGCGTGCCCAAAATCCCAAGAGGAGAATAAAGTAGAAAGGATTGTGGTATGGCCATCTCCTCTGGGGGGAGGGGGTGATTTCTCTCACTTTCCCTCTCTCCCTGTCTCTTTCTGTCTCTCTCCCGAAGGAAAAAAAAAAAAAAAAAAAGAAAAAAAAAGAAGAAAGGGAAAAAAAGCAGCAGCTAAATGATATAGAATGTGTTCTTACAATTTGGGACTCATTTATTTTTTTTTCCTTATTTTCAAGGTGAAAGAGGCCAAATGTCAGAATTTGGAATCTGAGAGAAATACAAAGGTCAGTAAATTCATCTTTAGCTGTTTAACTTAGAACCATTGAGGGTAGGGCAGGTCAAGCATAGCGTAAACTTGAAGTGCTTTGAACAAAACAAACTGCTTTGTTCTGTGGGTTACTGCCAATTTTTTTCAAGAACCAAAGTTCAGATAATATGAATTGCAGTCGAAGTCTTAATCATGTACAGAAGTTGGCAGATAAATATATTATGATTCAATAGCAGAGAAGGAGAATAAACTGGTAATGTTCCCGTGTATTTTTATTTTACATCTAAGGATACGATTTGTTTCACGGTCCCTGGTGCTTTTCCCGATACTCTGTACACTGTCAGAATAAAAGTCAAAACAAATAAGTTATGCTATGAAGATAACAAACTCTGGAGTAATTGGAGTCAAGCGAAGAGTATAGGTAAGAGAGCAAGATTTCGTTAAAATTTAAAACATTGACGCATGGAAACTAAGCTGAAACAGAAAATAATCGGGGAAGGGAACCATCATGCTTTCTTTTTTTTTTTTTTTTTTTAGAAATTTTCACTTTAAGGGCGCACCGGTCCGCAAA